GTAATGCCATCCAGAGTAAGAATCTGGTTAGATACCATATTTCTAAGATTTGGTCACATGGCAAGTGGATGTTGACCACAAGTTGGTGCAGTAAGACAGAGGAGCTGCCACACAAATATATCACACCAATGTGGCGAGTGTGCTAAATAATTGAGATGAGTTGGGGCTGGAGATACTAAATTCACCTATTCCACTATTTCAGCCCTATTAGGGCTGGCTGGCTGGCAATTCCTGGTGGTTTGTTCTGAACTTTGCGATGCCAACAAGGCCCTTGACTGACTTCATCTGAAAGGTTACCCCAGACCTGGTCCAGTGGATGGAGCAGTGCAAAATGCCTTTCTTGAAGGTGAAGAAGGCTCTCTGTGGGGAACCACTGCTCCACACACCAAACCTTTCCCTCTCTTTTATCCTGCAGACTAACACCTAAAGCAGAGGCCTGCCGTCAGCAGATAAGGGGCGGTCAACTGCCCAGTTGTGTACATCAGCTGGAAACTGTCAGAACTAGAAACCTGGTATAGTACTGTTGAAAAAGAGGGCTTGGCAATCTGGTGGGCGGCACACTCTCTTTGTTATTACCTCCTGAGATGCCCATTCACCCTCTGCTGGATTGTACCCCACTGCAGTGGCTCTGTTGCATGAGAGATGCCAACACCCAGATCACCCAGTGGATTTTGAAACTTCAGCCTTTTAAATTCAAGGTGGTCCATAGGCTGGGGACTCAGGTAGTTGTAGCTGATTTCCTTTCACAGGAGGCAGAGTTGGCTTGTACACACAATCCGAACATGGGGCACATTTTCTTAATTCTATGTTGTTGTTTTCAAATTCTATGTTGTTGTACTTTTCAACATGTTCAAAATAAAGATTCAATCAATCAGTCAATCAATCAATCAATGACCTCTGCAAACATGGGCATATATTATAAATTTTTAAAATATATTTTGTATGTATATCACATCATAACATCATTGTAGTAGGAGGGGTGTTACAGATGGTGCCAAGGGAGGCTGGCCAACACAGACGGTTCTAATCATGCATCCCATACTTCAGTAGCACACCGCAACCAGAGGAGAGACAAGAGGAGCAGCCAGGCATGGACAGCATCGAAGAACAAACAGTTAATTCACTTCAAGAATAAAATATCAACTACCACTGTGTGGCACACAATGGAGAAATAAGGTCTTTAAGTACCTGGCAAGAAATGTTGCTGTGGGGCCTGGCGGAGACTCAGCACTGCTGTCATCTCATCATGGTCTGATGGGTGGATGTACTCAAATATACTGTTTCCTGTTAGCTCCACCTGTGGCACACACATTTGGAACATTTAGTGATTAGTTGCACAAATGCATTAAATTCATATAGAAACAAAAGGGTGTTCTATTTATGCCATGTCTGAAGTGTGTTGAAAACTCAGTTGTTACATGACACATGCTTCTATGTTACTTATACATTTTTCTCCAGATTGTTTGGTTCAGAAAATCTAAACTTATTCCTGGGTATACTAGTCCACATGAGAGAGTGCTGAGGTGGATTGTCTTACCTGTGACAGACCAAGGTGCACTGATGCCGTTTCTGAAATGTACATGATTTTTCCATCTGATGCAACAACAAAAACAAACCCATCTAGAGTCTGAGGGAGAGAGCAACAATGAAGGTACTATTAACAACAAGTTATGTTGACGATAACTACTAGACCTGCCCTGAGGTCTAGTAAGACATGCATAGATATGGGTCTGCTGTTATAGTCCATAAGAAAATCTGAAGCCGGACTGAAACTCTTGAAATAAATAAATTCCTCTGTGGATGATCAGTTAGGTGTTTACAGCTAAAAGGAGGGTTGGAGATTGGCCTATAATTAGCCAAGACAGTTGGGTCAAGTGATGGCTTTTAAAGTGATTATAATTACTGCCAACATAAAGTTCATTAACTGAAAGAAATTTTTCATATTTAAGATTGATGAATAAATTAATGGTAGGGCTTCTTTGAGCAGTCTTGTAACAATACAGTCTAAGAGATCTGTTGATGGTTTGGAGGAAGCTGAAGTTAACTCAGAAAAATAATTTGGAGAGAAAGTATCCATCCATCCATCTTCTTCCGCTTATCCGGGGCCGGGGTACAGGGGCAGCAGCCTAATAAGAGAAGACCAGACCTCCCTCTCCCCGGCCACCTCCTCCAGCTTATCTGGGGGAACACCAAGGCATTCCCAGGCCACCCGAAAAATCTCTCCAGCGTGTCCTGGGTCTGCCCCAGGGCCTCCTCCCGGTGGGACATGCCTGGAGCACCTCACATAGGAGGCGCCCAGGAGGCTTATCAGATGCCCTAACCACCTCAACTGGCTCCTTTCGATGTGGAGGAGCAGCCGCTCTACTCTGAGCCCCTCCCGGATGGCTGAATTTTCCACCCTATCTCTAAGGGAGAGGCCAGCCACCCTTCGGAGGAAGCCCATTTCTGCTGCTTGTATTTTCGGTCATTACCCACAGCTCATTACCATAGGTGAGGGTAGGGAAGTAGATCGACCAGTAAATTGAGAGCTTCGCTTTTACACTCAGCTCTCTTCACCATGATGGACCGGTACAACGTCTGCATCACTGCAGCCGCTGCACCAATCTGAAAGAAATAATTTAAATAAATAGTAATAGCATTCTGCAATTCTGGCAATAAAGCTGATGACAAGTTTAGTCCCACTTCTGGGTCCTGCATTTTGGGTCCTATCCTCCCTCCCACACACAGCTTCTCATGACAGATTTGAATTGAATCAGTTGGGTTATCACGTGTCAGTACAACTCTGGGTCTTGCCTGCACAAAAGCTCTGGCTGTACAAATAACTACCATATACCACAAAATGTGACTTCATGATCAAATTAGTATTTCGCACCCATCTATGAATCACCACCTTATCATGATGGAGAGGTTTGTGTGCCTATAGGGGCTATGTTGTCTGGAGCCCCTGGTAGGGTCTCCCAAGACAAACTGGTCCTAAGTAAAGCGCAAGAAGAGCACAGAGATGTCGAGCTCAATGCACAACTGGAGGTCTACTGGAGAGGGGTTAAACTCTTTTGTTGGACTTATGTGATAACCACAGTCTGCATAACTAACACCATGTTTGAACATAATTTATGTGTAAGTGTGTATGGCAGCAGATCATGGTAGACTGAAGATTGATGTTTGAATTTGTAATCGTACACTATATTGCCAAACTTATTCCATCGTTTGCCTTTCATATGCAAATTAACTTGAGTGGGATCCTATTCTTAATAATCCATGGGGTTGAGTATAATGTCTGTCCACCCTTTGCAGCTATAACAGCTTCAACTCTTCCGAGAAGGCTTTCCACAAGGTTTAGCACCTTAACGCCTAGTGTGTCATATTTGTTACATACAGGGTTTTTTGTGAGTTTTTGAGACTTCAACATCATTAATGTGATCCTTTCCCCCCCTGAAAAACCTCAATAAATTGCACATTTTTAAGCAAAATGCCACATGTAATAAATATGCCAAAATTTAAAGTCATGCATGGAAATTAAAATGTAATAAATTTTTTAAAAGACATTTTTTCTGATGGTTCAATAAACTCCTTTTTTTTAAATGGTTGAGAAAGCCTGGCTTGCAGTCTCCACTCTGCCAAATGTCTTTTGGTGGGTATTTTGCAGCACTGAGAGTTTCTTCCAGTGGAACTATGGGGCCGTGCCTGGCTTCTGAAAAACAGCAAAATCCCCCTCCACCAAACTGAGTTGCTGTCATTCCCAATCTTTTTCACCTTTTTAACAGTTACCTTTGGAATATTTTGTAGTGAGGTCAATCAATCAATCAATCAATCAATCAATCAATCAATCAATCAATCAATCAATCAATC